ACCTTCTGACCATATTCTCTTAACAAGCTCATTAGTTACTTGGCCATCTCTAGCTACAAAAGAGGCTAGGATATGCAGTTGTTATTTCCCTCCTAAAAATTTAGGATTCATTTACGTTAGAAAAATATAGGCAACTAGTGGTCTCTACTTGTGCAATCCACTCAGTGTTTTCAAGGTAGCTTACTTGGATTTCCTTCTGGTAAGGAAGGAAGGAGACACCCTTCCTAACCATTCCGCTCTCACTCGCAGCTGTGGGTTTTCTCTAACTAATGACAGAGAATACAGCCTAACCTTAAACCAAATAACATTGACTCCCTAGGCCCCAGTGATTGGTGGAAGGTCAAAATCAGCTGCATTTTCCCAAAATTCTCAGTGGATGTGGCTGGCTTTCTTTTCTATTTAGCCTAAATTCTTGCAAAATTGTCTTATTTTTGTCAGTTCTTCATCTTATTGAGTTTCTTCCTTTTCTGTGTTATAGTCTCTCAAATCCCAGATTCAGCCATCAAGCTTCTCTAATCTTTTATTCAGATTGCTGAAAGGATTTGAAAAATCCCAACCTCAGATTGAAGATCTTACAAATCTGTGATCCCGAATCTCAACTCCACACTGCCTAATACCATTATTTGTTTTTTTCCCAACTCCTTCAACTTTTCTTCCCCACAGAGGCTCTAAAAATTCATTTTCTCCTTAAGTATCCTTCTGTCTTTTTCTTCTCATTTTCATCAAATGATTTTGCCTCCTTATTCAATAACAAAATAAAATACACCGAGTGAATCCTTCAGTTTTTAGGTATGCTTGAAATTCTCTTCTCTTTGTCTCCTATCAGTTGCTGTGCATACATTTTTTTTAATACCTATCATAACATACTGAGATTGTGGATATTTTCCCAACATTTCTAGTAGATAAGAAGATTAGTGATCTCAGGGACCATTTCTCATTTGACTTTGGATCCTGAATAGCCCTGTCTACTAAAAACAGAAAAATAAATAATAAAATAAAAACAGAAAAATTAGGCGGATGTGGTGGTGCACTTGTAGTCCCAGCTACTTGGCAGGCTGAGGCAGGGATCAAGTTCCTGCTTTGAGCCCAGGAGTTTGAGGTTGCTATGAGCTAGGCTGAGACATAGCACCCTATCCCTAGAACGCAGAAGGAGACTGTCTCAAAAAAAAAAAAAAGAAAGAGAGAGAGAGAAAGAAAAAGAAAAGAAAGGGAAAAGAATTATATCAGCAGTCTGGGGAGGTGGCTCATTTCTGTAATCCTACCACTTTGGGAAACAGGCAGAAGGATTGCTTGAGGCTAGGATTTCAAGAGCATCCAGAGCAAGAGAGAGACCCAGTCTCTGAAAAAAACAGACCTCCTATTGGTTTTGCTTCTCTGGAGATCCCTAACAAATACACAGTATAGATTATCCTTTCCAGAAACATAAGTGAGGCGTGGAAACCACTGCTGCACCGTTAAGGCTCCGCCCACATGCACTGTGGCTGGTGGGTTGGAACCCCCCAGAGCCTGCTCAACAATAATGGCAACAATGACAACAACACAAAAAAGCTGGGCATTGTGGCAGATGCCTGTAGTCCCAGGTACTTGGGAGGCTGAGGTAAGAGAATCACGTACACCCAAGAGTTTGAGGTTGCTGTGAGCTCTGATGCCATGGCACTTTACCAAGGGCGACATAGTGAATCTCTGTCTCAAAAAAAAAAAAAAGAATGAAAGAAATGTAAATGATGCCAGTTAATGCTGGCATGTAATCCCAGCACTCTGGGAGGCCAAAACGGGTGGATGGCTTGAGCGCAGGAGTTCAAGACCAGCCTGAGCAAGGGTGAGACCCCCATCTCTAAAAAATAGACCGGCATTGTGGCAGCTGCCTGTAGTCCCAGCTACAAGGGAGGCTGAAGCAAGAGGATTGCTTGAACCCAAGAATTTGAGGTTGCTGTGAACTATGACGCTTAGATGCCAGGGCACTCTGTGTAGGGCAGCAAAATGGAACTGTGTCTCAAACAGATAAACAAAGAAGGGTGGCCAGAAGGTGGTGACCTGAGAGAGAGTCCACCATCAACATTCACAAGTCCATGGAGTGAGCTTCAAGAAGCATGACCCTAGGGCAGTCAAAGAGATCCAGAAATTTGCCATGAAGGAGATGGGGACTCTAGATGTGTGCATTGATGCCAGGTTCAACAAAGCTGTCTGGGCTAAAGGCCTAACAAACATCCTGTACCATATACCTGTAGGATTGTCCAGAAAACTTAATGAAGATGAAGATTCACCAAACAAGCTCTATACTTTTTTTTTTTTTTTGAGACAGAGTCTCACTATGTCACCCATGGTAGAGTGCTGTGGCGTCACACAGCTCGCAGCAATCTCAAAGTCTTGGGCTTAAGCAATTCTCTTGCCTCAGCCTCCATAGTAGCTGGGACTACAGGCACCTGCTATAATGCCCGGCTATTTTTTGGTTGCAGTTGTTACTGTTGTTTAGCTGACCCGGGCTGGGTTCGAACCCCCCAGCCTTGGTGCATGTGGCTGGTGTCATAACCACTGTGCTAGGGCTGCTGAGCCACAAGCTCTATACTTTGGTTATCTATCGTAACTGTTACCACTTTCAAATATCTACAGACAGTCAATGGGGATGAGAACTGACTGGTGATTGTCAGATAATCAAATAAAATTATAAAACCACAAAAAATAAAAATAAAAGAAGGAACAGCTACTCTGGAGGCTGAGGCAGGAGGATTACTTGAGACCAAGTGTTCAAGACCAGCCTGAACAACATAACAAGACCTATTTCTTAAAAAAGAGCGAGTGGGAGAGAAAGAGAAAAACGATATTTCTTCCCGAGTGTAGAGAGATGGGAGTGAGAATTTATGTTAGTTAGCTATCATTTTGTGATAAATCATCTCAAAACTTAGTGGTTGAAAACAACATTGATTATTTCTCATGAGTTTGCAAGTTAGTGAGGCAGTTCTAGTGGGCCAGATTTGGCAGATCCTGTCTTTAGGCTTATTCGTGCACTGTGCTCAGCTGATAGATGGATTGGCTGGGTGCTGGTCTTGGCAAGGACCATTGAGCTCTGCTCCGGGCTCTCCTCTTCCCCAGGTTAGCATGGACTTCTGTTCAAGGCCCTGGCAGACTTCCAAATAGAGGGTGGGGATACACAAGGACTTCTTCAAGCCTCCACAG